GGATCACTCCTGGCACGGTGTCGACCGGGCCATCGCGAAGTGGAGATTTGGTGGAGCTTCGATTCTTGCTGACTAAGCCTTGTCGAGCCCCTCGGCTCCGGCCACAGCGAAATGTGCTTATCTCTTGTTCATACTTGGAGAGGTAGCCGGACGCTGCTTCGGAGATCTCGTGGAAGATGAGCCCCAAGTGGCAAGCGCCAGGGGGGGGAGCACCGATCTTTCGGAAGCCGGCACACACCCCGATTATTGCACACATGACGACGGGAGGCGGTCCACCATGGAGGAGGGGCCCCACGGAGACTCCTTGAGCGACCACCTCATCGACGCCACGCGGTGGACCTCCCTGCCGCGCGACCAACGGTCAGTCAAGACGGACGCGCTGGTCACAGAGTCGGTCGCTTCCGATGATAACTCCGAGGCAGAGACTCGCCCTCTCCGCCTGATCCTCTGCCGCAAGTCCTTTCCGCAGAGGCGTGCCAGCATCGCCGCCGTCGCCGCGCTTCTCGCCACCGCGGAGGCCGTGGACGTCGACGAGACTGGAAACGCCCACGTCGACATATTTGCCCCAGACGAGCTGCACAACCTTACGCTAGATCATGCTGTTCCAGGGACACCGCGCACGCCCCCGGGTCTTAGGCGTCAGGATCCAAGAAGGCAGTAGTCGGACGTGACAATGACCTACTCACCCTTGTAAAGTTTCGAGAGCACGCCGCAGCCGTCTCCACCGCTTTGCTTGAAGAACTGCAAGCATGGATGCATCACAACTGCATGCCACGGCGCCCGCGCCGCTAGGCGCGCAACGCCCATGATTGCACGGGGCCTGGCAAGTGGAAGACACGAAGCAGAGCAGACCCATCTCAGGATGTTCGGATCATCCGCATGAGGGTGACCCTTCGAGGCTTCAAGGACGCCGACGCCGATCTCATCGCCAAGTACGCAGGCACCGCACCAAGACTCTTCCAGCGCGCAAATGTTTCCGAGGCTGCCTGCCGAGGGCGGGCGATCGATGCATGGGACGTCAGGAAAGTTTTCCAGAAAGGCGTCAGCCACCAGGAAATTGCGGATACAACTGGTGAGGAGGAGCGCAACGTCAATGTTGAGTTCTCCCCTGAAGCCGTCGCAGTCCTGGAGGGGCACGAAGAGTTCGGCCCGGCACTGGAAGTTTTCCACTTGGAGAAACCAGGCACCAGGTGCAAACATGCTTCGAGATGCTGGTCCGTCCAACTCACCTAGATCATCAATCACATGTACCGAGCCATCCCCACAATATACAGTAATAAGTTCATCGCCAAGCATAAGAATGGCGAGCTCCTCCTACTGGCCACCAAACATGTTTGCGAAATGAAGGTAGCAAGATCACCGCAGGATGAGATGGACCAATCGGAAGCGTTCAGCTATTTGGCAAGTCCAATTCCGAGCTCGCCTCAGAGAACCTGGCCAAGGTGCATCTCAGCACGCTTATAGCATGAGCTTTCACACTCATCATACGAGTGGATACGCACGTCTACGCGGTCGCACTTCAGCGCCGCGCAGCGGCGCCAACGCGCGGTCACATACGGAAGCTCAGCACGCTTGCGAGCAGGGCGCAAGCCAAGCCTTTACGGATCCGCTATCCACCCATGCGTTGCGCACACAACTCGAAATACACAGCGACGCAGCTTTTTAAGAAGAACAAAAGGAGGCGCCGACGCGAGACGGGCCCTGCGAGGAGCCACCACCCTGCGCACGGGCGCCAGCGACGCGGACACTAAACGAACGTTTGTTAGCAAACAAGCGCGCCCCCTACTAGACTGGCAGCGCGGGGCGTTCAAAAAGGCGGCACGAAGCACTTCTCCAAATGAGTTGATGGCCACGACCAGCCCTTCAGACCATGGCTTCGCTCTGGCCACAACGCTCCACGATGTGCTCGAGGGACCCCACTACTGCCACGCGTGCTCTGGCTCCGCGACCTCCTGAGCTCGGGCCAACTACGGGTCCTGAGTTGGGAAGACACACGAGATATGATCGCGGATGGACTGACCAAAGGCAGCATCGATAGATCTGCCTTCCACGACGTGGCCGGCGGCTCTCGACAGCGGTCACACACGCCGCACACAGCCATTTTCGCGTCGGCTGGCAAGCTCACTGTACTATCAGGCCTTGAGCGCCAGCCGACCTACGACAACTCACGATTGTCAAGATGCGTCTGCGGATTGCTCTGCGCCCCATTCTCCTCGAAAGCTCCTCGAGACCATCAGTCGAAGGCCTGTTACAGTGCGCACGGCGGTTGAGAGATATGTTGCAGCACGGAAGCTCGGGCAGAGCATTTTGCCAGGAGTCTTGCCATCGCAATGTTCAGCTCACGCCGTGGCATGCACGCGGGCGCGCACGCGCACGGACGTGCGGGGCAAGGACGTAGCAAGGAGAATCAGGGACGAACGTTATGATTTCGCTGCCATTTTTCTCAGCAGCAGGCTCGCACACCGCCCTGCCGGAGCGCGCTGAGCCGCAGGCTGCGATTCGCGCGCCGCCGGGCCCGCGCACGGGTCCCCGACGCACGTCGACGCGCGCTGGCGGTCACCTGCTGCCGCGCGCCCACATGCCAGCACGCCGCGAAACAAGCCGTCGAAGCCTCCTGGACCGCCACCGTCTCGTCGCTCGCGGACCGCGCCCTTGGCGCCACTGCCACCCACGGAGGAAGTGGCGTCATCAGACGACGTGGCACTCGCGACGTCCACAGGTCGAGCCAAACCACGCGCTCAATCTCCGACGCCTTCTCCAGGCACATGGTCGAGGTGCGGCAACCCGAGGGCGCAACTTGTCATGGTCCTTTCTCCCGGCATGCCCCCGACGCTGCCTCAACCAGGCCAGGAGCACGCGCGTCAATTGTCAGGTCAGCAGGTCAATGAGACAGGGCGCACCGCCTCAATCCCGTCTGCCTCTCGAGGCCACGTTCGGGCCCATCTGCTTCCTCGGCCCCGCGCGCGGTTGCTGCCCACCAGCAAAGCATCCGCGCCGAGTCTTCCGAGCGCTCCACCGCCTCCCGACGCGCCAGCCTCGGCACTCGCAGAAGGTTATCAGTCCGCTTCGCTCAGCAAGAGCAACACCGAAGTGGCGGAGTTCATACGGCAGTGGCACGTCGCCAGCCCAGCCCCCGAGGCGCTGCCCCGCCGGAGTCTCTACTCCACGCACGTACTGTAGCCAGAGTTGCGCGTCGGATTCACGTTCGAGGTTCGCGGGGTCATGGGCCAGTCGAACGACGCACGGCCGCAGCGCGCCAACACTCCGCTCAGCATTGGCCTGGTCATGCACACGGCCAAGCTGCAAAATTGCGGGCCTCGTGGACCGCCCATGTGAGGGCCGAGCGCCGCCGCCATTGGCCGTTCACCTACTTCGGCTCGTTGCCAGCGTTTGGCCAAGACCCCTTCCCGGCCCGCGACGAGTCGGAGCTGGGCGCGCCTTCTTCCAAGAGCAGGCCGCTCGGCCGCGACAGGCCAGCGCCGCTGGCGCGGCGGCCATCGCGACCCCCATCACTAGAGGGCGAGCGCGTGCCGCGCACTCCTCCTCGTCGGCACCCCTCACCAGAGGTTAGCCCTCTGGTCTCCTTCTCGCGAGACTGAGCACGACGAGGACAGCGCTGCTTGCGGCCCGGGCCGGAGGCCGACACTACCCTGCCCTTCGGCACCGCGACCATTTTGGACGAGGACGCGCGCCATGGCGCCCATCGGCTCTCGCGGGACGCCGCCGTGGCATCTGGCAACGGCAAGAGCGGACAGGGGCAAGAGCGAGCCCGCACAAGAGACCGACGCCGACCTGCCCATGAAGAACAGATACGCAGGGCAGGGGAGAAGGTCAAGCGCCAGCGCGCCAGCGCGGCCCTCCGCGCGGCTGCCGCCGGCGAGCCAGGCCCCATCCACGGCGCGAGCCCGGGCGGAGAGCTGCCCACGGGCAGGGCCGAGACCTCTGGGGCCGCGGACGGGAGGGCACTTGTCCAGTCGCGGCCAGAGCGGGCGGGATTGGGGGGGGAAGGGGGAGGAGGAGGGGGAGGAGGAGGAGGAGGGGGAGGAGGAGGAGGAGGAGGAGGAGGAGGAGGAGGAGGAGGAGGAGGAGGAGGCGGAGGCCCCCCGGTACGCCCAGCGAGGAGGTGGCCCTGCGGTCGCGGACGGAGCGGCCCCCGCAGCTCGCGAGTGCGATGAGCCTCGAGGCCATCGTGCCAACAATTGCGCACATCCTTCGAGGTTTATCTCCACACATCACCTCCACACACCTCCACTTCGAGGTGTGTCTCCACATCACCTCCACACATCACCTCCACACCTCGAGGTTTATCTCCACACATCACCTCCACACATCGAGGTTTATCAAAGCGTCTACACACCTCCACTTCGCCATTCACGTGACTCCGGGGCCATCACTTCGCCTAAGTCTCAGGACAGGCTTTCGGGGATCACGTCTGCGGCCCGAGGTCACCACCATACACAGATGCGGCCTGGAAGAAGTCACACCACCATCAGTCACACGCGCGGGCTCCTCCAGTACCGTTCCTAAGAGCACGAGCGAGCTGCCCGCTAAAGAGGGCGAGCCCACGTCCCGCCGCGCCGCACGCACCCAGGTCACACAGCGACGGGGCCTCCCTGCTGAGTCTAGAATAATTTTCTGGGGGTGGACAGTCCTGAATTCATGCTTCTTTCGTCTCTCTTCTCCGCCAGAGCTGTTCGCGCCCGCGCAATCCCGACTCAAATAGGAGGGCCCGCCGCCGTTTGGCCCAAGCGCTGGCGCATACTTGTATATTGCACGGACAGTATGAGCACTGCAATCATTATCTTCTTGCCGCCATGCTTTCTCTCGTACAGGTTCCATGTTCCGTAATTCTAGTTTTTCGTCCATCCATTCCTCCACCCATCCATCCATCCATCCATCCATCCATCCATCCATCCATCCATCCATCCTCCTCACTCCTCCCTCTTCCCTCTTCCCTCCTCCCCCTCCTCCTTGTGTCCCCGCGCCAGTGTCAGCGCCAGGCTGCGGCGGGGGAGGCGGATGCAGCTGGCCTCGATCCAGAACTGCAGTTGCCCCTCCGTTTCCTCGCCATCGCCGCCTCGTGCGGGGCTCAGCCGGGCGGGGCGGGCGAGACTGCAGGGGCAGGTGAGCCCGAAGGACCAGCCCACGTGCTTCCCGAGAGGGAGGGAGTGGCAAAGGGGAAGGCACAAAGGGTGTCCTGGGCCAGCCCTTCCCTGTCTTAACGGGGAGGGCGAGGCAAGGGTTCGAGGGCGAGGGAAAGGCGGCAGCTTCCATGGGATCAGCGCGAAACACAGGGGTCCTGAAGGAGAGGGATCGGATTAGTTATTCCGCAGTCATGTAGGCTCCCAGGGCCATCCCTGAGGATGAAAAATCAGTCCCAGAGAAAGCCCCCGCGTCCTCTGACAGTTCTCAAGAGGACCCCGTTTCCCTACTGCCACAGGGAGGGGGGGGAGGGAGGGGGGCAGGTTTCAAAATGATATTCAACAGTTCTGCATGCAGTACCTGCACCAAGGGTTCTCACTGATGCTTTAAGGGCCGTCCTGGTGAGCTGGGTTCCGGCCGTCGCCGCCGTGGGGTTCGAGCCGTTGCTGGTAGGCGGCGGGCCCGATTCTCACACGTTATTGTTACTCCAGTTCCATTTGGCTCTGCGCACTTGGCATGGCTTCACACACACACACACACACATTCACACACACACACACACACACACACACACACACACGCGCGCGCGCATTGGGTTCCACACATATCCACGCGTAGGGTTCCTCACGTAGGGTCCCACACACATAGGGAACCATACATCTATTCCTTTTATATTTTTTTAAAACCGGGGGGGGGCGAAAACCACCCCCCCGAAACGGGACCCCCCGGATCCGTGGCACGGGGGGAGGCCGGAAATCTTTGCAAAGGCGTGCACGCAGGCGGGTGGCAGTCCCAAATCGATCGGCGAAAGGCCCAAGAGCCACCCAAGACTGTCCAGGATGGCATCCAGCTAGCCTTGACCCCCGCCGGATGCCCGAATATCACCCCAATGTCACCCCAAAGAGGCGTTCGAAACCCAAAAACATCGATGTTTCATTGGTTCTTGTATGATTTTCGGATACATGATAATTCAGCCTTCCACGCGTGCGAGAACGTTGGAAACGCACTGACAACCGCTCCTAGACGGCGCCGAAATGAGCCCCATGAGCGCCCGAAGCGGTCCCCAAACTGCCCACAAGAGTCCCCATAACCGCCCAAAATTAACCCCACGACGGCTGGCGCAAGGCCTTAGAGACACCACAAACGGTCCAAGATGGCATCATGCGGTCCAGGCCCTCGCTGGATGCTCGAACGCGCTTCGAATGTCACTTACAAGCGGCGCTCGAAACCTTGAAAATCTTGATTTGTTTGTGGTTTTGTATGCTTTTCGACTATGTCCTCATTCGGCTTGCCAGGCGTCCGAGAACGCAGGCGAGGCACCGAAAACCTTTCCCGACTCCAGAAAAGCCGTACGGGGGCCCAAGACGGCTCCTACACTGCCCACAAGCGGCCCCATGACCGCCCCAAACTGACCCCAAGGCGGCCGGCGGAAGGCCCAAGACACGCCCAAGACGGTCCAAAATGGCATCCATTTGGCCTTGGCCTTCGTCGGATGCCCTGAGGCGACCCGACAGGTATCTCAGAGAAGCGCTCGAACCCGAAAATCACTGATGTTTCAATGATGTTGTAAGATTTACTGCCATTCGTTCCTTCGGCCTGCCGGGCGTCCGAAAACATTGTTAAATCTCCGAGCACCGCTCCAACTAAACCCAAACGCGCTTCCTGAATCCCCAAAGCGGCCCCACGAGGGCCCGGGACGGCCCCCAAACCGCCCATGGGCGGCACCCTGACGGCCAGGCGAGGCCCCAACACGAGCCAAACCAGCATCTTCACTCTGTAGGAAGGCGCCATGAGGGCCCCAGACGACTCCCAAACTGCCCATAGGCGGCTCCGTGACAGCCTGGGGACACCGTCTGGACGCTCCTCAACAGGGCCACCCATGAATTCCAGCTCTCCAGGGCGCCTTCTCAACGTTCACCCAAGCGCGCAAACGGGCGAGCGGCAGTCCCAAGACACCCCGAGGACAGTCCGAGGTGACTCCGAGATGGGCCGCAAGGCCCTCACACCGCTTCGGCAAGCCCCCATGTAGATCCCTGAGTTCTCGCCCGCTCAGATGGTATTTCATTACGGAAAGCCGCAGTTTGCCCACAACCCCAGGTTCGCAACCATTTGTTTCTGGAAATTCTGTAGCGCACCCAGGATTTCAGCAGTTTCCATTTACGCCATTCCGTGCGCCCGTGGTCTCCGACTCACAGTTTTCGCCCGTCCTAAGTTGATTGCCCTTTTCTCCCCTTCCCCCGCTTCTCCGTGATACGAGCAAGCGAGCACGCCTCAAAGGGAAAAGAGGAAGGCGCGACAGGCCAACCACTCCAAAGTTTCAAGGAACAAGATGCATAGCGCGAAGCGCCAATGCAGCCTTGTATATATATATATATATATGTGTGTGTGTGTGTGTAAATGTGAAAGAGAGAGAGAGAGAGAGAGAGAGAGAGAGAGAGAGAAAAAAAAGAGAGAGAGAGAGAGAGAGGCAGAGACAGAGAGACAGACAGGCAGACAGACAGACAGACAGAGAGACACACACACACACATACGCAAACAAACACACCCTGACAGCGAATTACACGCCCGAAGCGATCCAAGCATAGGGTTAGCAGCCGAGCCAGCCGTTCCCAAAGCAATCAGCCGACTACCTTGATCGCAGGAGCTGTTTTATCACCTCCGAGGCCCTACGATACCTTGCCCAGCCAGTTCAGCCAGCCAAGCTAGGCCTGGCCAGCCTAGCCAGCCAGCCTTCCCAGTCCAGCAAGCCACAGCAGCCCAGCCCCGATTCACGTGACCGCGGAAGGCCCACAGAGCTCTCTCCCCCAGGACGCCCAGCAGCTCCACAAACATGGTCCCACCTGTCTGTCACCATGTCACGTATGTCAGTTGAATAAACAGTGCACAGACCATCTCGGATCATGGTCACGCTTCTGCTGCGGCCATCCACGGAGGAGCGTTGGTTCGCAGTTCTCAGCTGGGCGGGGCCACTGCAGACGCTCGCAGCATAGTCCGCGCCCTGCGGGGCCACCCGAGAGGGCTGAGCTTTCAGAAAAGGCTGAAAGTCCCCCCCCATCTCCACCGCAATCCTCCTCTTCCACGTCCTCCTGTGTTGTTTACTTCCCCCTCATCATCATCATCATCATCATCATCATCATCATCATCATCATCATCATCATCATCATCAGCATCATCATCATCACCATCATCAGTACCATCATCAGCAGCAGCATCAGCATTATCATCATCACCATCATCATCATCACCACCATCATCGACCTCAACATCCGGATAATCGTTTAATTCATCCTCGGCAACATCATCATCGCGGTCGTCATTGGCATCGCCATCATTATCAGAATCACCTTCATCACCGCGCTTCATCATCATCATCATCATCATCATCATCATCATCATCATCATCATCATCATCAACACCCGCATCATCATCATCGTCATCAGCATCATTATCATCCTCCTCATCATCATCCCTCTCCTCCTGTCCATCGCCATCGACAACAACGACATCATTATCACCACCATCACCATGAACAAAACATCGTCGTCGCGAGGTGTCGCGGTTTCGGTGCATCCGTGCCCCTTATGTGTAAGTTTTGGATCAACATCACCATCACGCGCGATCCTCATCATCAGCAGCATCGCCATCAGTATCAGCATCGTCATCATCATCATCAGCATCATCGTCATCCTCATCATCCTCATCATCATCATCAGCATCATCATCACCATCGTGATCCTCATCATCGTCGTCATCATCACCATCATCGCCGCCATGATCATCATCGTATCAGTATCATCCCCATCATCATCAGCAGCATCATCGTCATCATCACCATCATCCTCGTCATCGTCGTCGTCATCATCGTCATCGGCGTCGCCATCACCATCACCAACATCAGCACAAGCAACTTCACTGCATCTCATCAACACCATCCTCATCATCAACAGCATCATAATCATCGTCAGCATCATAACATAATTCTTTACGCTTCGCGTATCCCCACCAGCCCATCTCACAGCAGCAACTCTTGCGAAGCATGCCGACAGTCGTGTTTTTCAGGCGTGTGTCCGCTTGGCCCCGCATATCTCCCCTGTTCCTCCTTCCTCCCGCCTCCTTGTACATCCTCCTTGTGGGGGGAGCGGGAGAAGGACGAGGCGGAGGAGGAGGGAGAGAAAGCGCTCCTCGTGATTTGAGTCGTTTGGGGTTTCTCGTCCTGGTGTGAGTCGTTCGGGCCCTTCTTCCTGGTGTGAGTCGTTCGGGCTCTTCGTGGTGTGAGTCGTTCGGGCTCTTCGTCCTGGTGTGAGTCGTTCGGGCTTCTCGTGGTGTGAGTTGTTCGGGCCCCTCATCCTGGTGTGAGTCGTTCGGGCCCCTCCTCCTGGTGTGACTCGTTCGGGCTCCTCGTGGTGTGAGTCGTTCGGGGCCCGCGTCGTGGTGTGAGTCGTTCGGGCTCCTCGTGGTGTGAGTCGTTCGGGCGCCTCGTCCTGGTGTGAGTCGTTCGGGCCCCTCCTTGTGGTGTGAGTCGTTCGGGCTCTTCGTGGTGTGAGTCGTTCGGGCCCCTCGTCCTGGTGTGAGTCGTTCGGGCTCCTCGTGGGGCCTCTTGGGGGCCTCTTCCTCTTGGGGCCTCTTGGGGGCCTCTTGGGGGCCTCTTGGGGGCCTCTGGGGAGCCTCTTGGGGCCTCTTGGGCCTCTTGGGGGCCTCTTGGGGGCCTCTTGGGGCCTCTTGGGGGCCGCTTGGGGGCCTCTGGGGGGCCTCTTGGAGGCCTCTTGGGAGCCTCCTGGGGGCCTCTTGGGGCCATCTTGGGGCCTCTTGCGACCTCCTCAGAAGCGCAAATGAGGGCTGCCCCCTGAGAAGGACAAAATGAGCCCAAAACCTTCGTAAAATCAATGATTTTACTATGAAGGACGAGGAGCGCTGCCCCCTCAGAAGGCCAAAATGGGGCCAAAACCCTCGTAAAATCAATGTTGTTGGCTTCACAGAAGAGGAGAGGGACTTATCTCAGCCCCCCCGTCGGGGCCAGAATCCTCGTGAGGGTCGTCGTTTTTTAGCCCTCCCAGGAGTCGAAATTGACCCCCCTGACGACCCGCCGGACCCCCTCTCCAGGCCCAGGGGGAGGGGGTAGGGGGAGGGGTAAACCCCTCCCCGAAGGGGAAGAAGGGGGGTTGAGGACAGAGCGGGCTCTCTAAACCACTCACGCCCAAAGGGCTGGTGGGATTATCATCATCAGCAGCAGAAGCATCATTATCGTCGTCATCATCATTACACTAATGAGCATCATAATCAACAGAAGCATCATCGTCATCATCATCATCATCATCATCATCATCATCATCATCATCATCATCATCATCATCACAACCGCCATCATCATAGTCATCAGCATCACCATCATCATAGCATCATCATCAGCATCATCATCGTCATCATCATCCTCGTCACCATTGTCGGAATAGTCAGCATCATCAGTATCATAAACAACATCGCGTCATCATCACAACCCCCATCGTATTCATCATCGTCATCGTCACTGTCCTCCTCAACATCGCCATCATCATCAGCAGCAGCAGTCAGGATCATTATTATCATCACCTCATCACGAACATCATCATAATCATCATGATCATCATGATTACGACAATCTTCACCATATTCACCACCATCAGCATCATCAGCATCATCAGCATCATCATCAGCAGCATCATCATCAGCATCATCATCAGCAGCAGCATCATCATGTCTTTGTCCGCTCGAAATTCTGGCGCCTGGCGGCCCTGTGGAGGCCGTCGGCGGTGCGTCTCGGGTGTCTTGGGGCCTGCGTCACCGGAGGGCCTGCGGACTCGTGCGGAGTGGCGAGCTGCCTGGCCACTGCTCCTCTTCAGAGGTCAAGGCTGGGCAGTTTGCTTGTCGGTGGGGTCGCGTGCTCCTCGTCGTCGCCTTGTTGCGCGCGGATTGTGTCGCAAGGCTGCGTCGAGCAACGCTCCCAGACCTTCCTGTGTAGCCCGATCACCATCATCGTGGAATGATCGTCATCCGCATCAGCATCGGCATCAGCATCATGACCATCATACATGACCGCATCGTCTCAAGATAGCGCGAGTTGAGGATAGTCGGGCAGTCCAGGCTGCCAGCGTCAGGCGCGTCACCGCCTGAAGATTCCAAGCGATAGCGACTCCGTGCCTCTGCAGAGCATTCCTGGCGCTATCGTCCCCGATCTTCGCGCCGCTTGCGCGGGAAGTTTTGAGGCTGGATGGCAAGTCGGCATGGTTCGGTGGCGGGCGGATGGCGTAGGGGTCGGCCAATGCTCGCGCGGGCCGCTCCTTGGGCTTTGGTCTCGCAGACGCTGTGCAGGAGCTGCGGGCTCGACGGGTGCGAGTGGGCGTCCGCGGCCTCGTGCTGGAGCAGCGCGCGCGGCGGCCAGCGACCTCAGCACCAGCGAGAGAGCGAGAGCCAGGGAGCTGCGGCGAGTTCGGCGGCAAGGGCAGCAGCGGCCCGCCCAGAAGTCGCAGGCAGGCCACGGCGGCAGCAATGGCGACGGCCCGTGGGCGGTCAAGACGGCCATCGGCAAGCTGCGCGAGGAGAGCTCGAGGCCAAGCGCGAGAAGCAGGCTTCGACCACAGCTGCCCAGGAGAAGAAGGCCACAGACGAAGGCCGCCCTGGAGGAGGCCAAGCAAAGGCTCCCAGAGGCGCAGCCCGCGGAGCCGCGGGGAGCAGGGCAAGTTTGCGGGCCCCGTGGAGCAATTCTTGACAGGCATTGCAGCGGCGGCACGCAGGCCAAAGGCACCAGCGAGAACGGCTCCGAGCGCGGGCTGGACTTGGGCAACGAGGGTCTGTAGCGGATCCTCAACGCGTTGAGGGACGAGCCCGAAGGGGCTGGCAAAGCTGATGCGCAGTTCATCGCCCTCCTGGCATTGCGCGCAAGAAGAGGCAGCTGCGTGCCAAGCGGCACGGCAAGCAGTCTGAGGCCCCCCTCGACCGTAGGCATCAACGGCAGCAGTTGGGGCCCCTCGGCCACGCTGCTTGGCCGCGGGCGGGGGAAGGGTAGGAGAAGTTGCGCAGGCAGGCTGGGTGCACCTGCGCCCTCACCACAGGGGGTGGGGGGGGGGGCCAACCCCAGGGGCCAGCGAGCAGGGCGCGGCGGCGCGAGGACGCATGCAGAGCCCAGCGACGGCAGGGCCGCGATCTCCCACGTCTCGGGCGCTTGCCTCAGCGGGATACTCCTGGGGCCCGTGCACATGCTCACCGACGAGATCGGCGCGATCAGCGTCGGCGTCTTGTAGGAGGTGGCGGTCGCGCTCTGGGAGTCTGGGCGACCACGGATCTCGGCGGCGGGCTGGCACGCCGGCCCCGGCCCACTCTTGTCCAAGGCTGGCCCCCGGTTGGACAAAGTTGGCGGCGTATTGGTTTGCCCAGGCAGGGGGGGGTGCAAGCTCCCGGTAGACAAAGAGGCCACTTACATATAAATATATATATATACACACAGATACATATACATATGCACATACATATATACACATGTATGATGTACTAGATATGCACACATCTATACAATGCATACACACATAAATGAACATATACCTATATATACTTACATGTGTAAATATATATATATATATATATATATATATATATATATATGAGTATAGATCAGCTCCTGATGGCCACGGAGCTGGCCCCGCGGCACGAAGCCTTCAACTTCGCAGCGCTGGGAGCGGGTCCCCACGTCTCGCTCCCTCGCCCTGCGGAGCTGCGTGAGCGCCTTCCTGGCGGACTCCAGACGCGTGCATGCGTTCTTCGGCGAGGACCATCGAGGAGCATCCTGGATCACCTCGCGAAAAGAGACGCGCACGAAACCGAAAAATGCACGGGCAGTGGCCGTCCGAGCGATGGCGAACGAGGTGCGCGTGGCTCCCTCTGGGGAAGCGGCTCAGTCATTCGGAGCAGCGTGCGGGGCTCCGGCCTCCGCTTCCCGGCCTCTGCGTGCGCTGCCCTCGCCTTGGCCCGAGCGGGGTCGGGGGAGGGCCCTTGCCTCTGTGAGGCTGGCTTCCTGTGCCCTCGAGCTCAGCAGCAGGCCGGCTGGCGCATCCCGCTCAGTGCAGAGGTGCTTGCAGCCGCTGGGGGCGCCGTTCCTGGGGGCGGCCACGAGGGCGCCGCCAGAGCGTGTGCAGCACGGCGGCAGCAGCAGCAGCAGCACGGCAAGGTTCGGCGAGTGCTTGGGGAGGTCGCCCACAAGGATACTGGCAGCACGAGCACGTGCTTGGCTCACCGTGGTTGCATGGAGCGGGCTGTCCACTGCAGGCCAGCTTCGGTGCACGACCCGCTGTGAATCAGCGCGCAACTTGCACGGCCGTCGGCGCAGGCGCATTGCCTTCCACTGCCGAGGAGAGAAGGTGGCAGCCGAGGCCTCTCTCCCGGCCGCCCTGTCGGCGCTGGACCGCCACCATCTCCATCAGCAGCAGCATCCTCACACTCCCCCCTCGTCCCGCGCCATCCCCCCGCCCTCGCCAGACATCCTCCGATACGCTTGTCTCAGGCCGCGGTCCGCGGCCCTAGAGCTTCAACCCCTTCCCCAGGGATAGTTTTCCGTTCTGGCTCCATGTCTGGTGGCCGCCGGTGCCCGATAACTGGCCCCGGAGGCCGAAATCGAGGACAAACGCCGGGGTGGAGCAAAAAAGATCGTCGGAGGTTTGGGTCCCCCCTCGTCACTCCCGTGGCACCCTCAGGGGGAACATCCCAAATCGTCGGAGGTTTGGGTCCCCCCTCGTCACTCCCGTGGCACCCTCAGGGGGAACATCCCAAATCGTCGGAGAGTTGGGTCCCCCCTCGTCACTCCCGTGGCACCCTCGGGGGGAGCATCCCAGGCCCTCCGCTCTCGGCACGCCCCCGCGGCGAGCGAGGTGCGGGCTCATGTGGCCCGCGTGCGCGAAGCTCGACCTGAGCACCATGGGGTGGAGCTCCGTGCTGGGGGTCGCCCGGGCCGCTTGGGAGCACTCGGACCCCGCCAGTCCCCCCCCCCCAGAGCCCTACCAATCCCCGCTTTCCCTCCTGCTCGAGGGGGGGCGTCGTCGACGTCGCCGCGCCCCTCCTCCTCCGCCTCCGCCTCCGCCTCCGCCTCCTCCTTCTCCTCCTCCTCCTCCTCTCCTTCCTCCTCCTCCTCTTTCTCCTCCTCTTCCTCCTCCCCATCATCATCATCATCATCATCATCATCATCATCATCATCATCATCATCATCATCATCATCATCATCATCATCATCCTCATCGTCGTCGTCGTCATCATCATCATCACCATCATCACCATCATCATCATCATCAGCATCATCAGCATCATCAGCATCAGCATCATCATCATCATCATCATCATCATCATCATCATCATCATCATCATCATCATCAGTAGCATCATCATCAGTAGCATCATCATCCTCACCCTCACCCTCCTGCTCCCCCTCCCCCTTGGCCACTACAGGGAGGAGGAGGAGAAGGAAGAGGAGGAGCAGGAGCAGGAGCAGGAGCTTCCCTTGCGCCAGGAAAGCAGGAGGAGAGGGAGAGGGAGGAGGATGAGTGCGCATTGTCCCAGGGGTGTCGTGTTGTGTGCATGCCGTGCTGTGTGTGTGTTTCGCGGCGTCCTGTTCGTGCCGTGCCGTGCGCGTCCCACCGCGTGTGTCGTGCCGTGCCGTGCCGTTTTGCGCGTGCCACGGGGGGTGCGATTGTATTGTACGGTCAACCCGCATAGTAAGGATGAGCAATGTTCCAAGGCTACCCTTGCATCCTTGCCCCTTCGGCCCATCCTTAAGCGACTTTCGCTGACCAACCTCGTTCGAAAAGCGTTAACATGGTCCTCCAAGGTCCTTGCATCCTTACCGCGCATCCTTATTGTACGGGTTGACTGTACCAGTCTGTTCGTGGGCAAGAAGTAGGTGGTAGTAGTAGACCCGCCTCACCCCGTGAGATTGAGCATCCCGCGACGTGTCGGAAGCGCATTGGGCATGTTCTGTGTTGCAACATCGACACAACAGATTGCGCCATCAAAAGATATTCGCGGCATCGCGAGTGGGATAGTGATGGCATGAAGGCGTGCGCGTTGCAAGCATTGGTTTGCGGGGCAGCACGACGAGCTCTGCAAGTTGGGATTGAATGCGGGGTCCAGCTTTCTCCAACCAGGTGAGATACCCCACATTTTTGACGTATGTACAGGCGTTGCGGAAAAGCGCACGTCCAAGCAGCATAGCCAGGTTAACATTGTGTCAGTTTGGCCTGCTCCGCACAGCAAGAATACATCCAGCGACATTCAAGTATCGTCGCCTCACGGATCCCCACGATACAATTCAGAAACTGTGTTTGGGTGATTAGCCATGGCTGGTTGTGAGAAAGGAGGCGGGGGCGCATTCATGAAACAACTTTGGAAACACCTATCGGTCTAAAGCTGAGGCCAATTGTGAGGACAACTTTGGAACATGATGGGGGCTTCTTTGAGGCCTCCCCAGCAATATCCGGGCTGGTTCGGGGGGCCCTCGGGGGAGCCCTCGGGGCCCTTTCCAGCAGGCCTGCCAGGCCCTCGGCCCAAGGCCCCTGGAGGGGTAGATCCCTGCCCGAAGAAGACGACGATTCAGGAGGGGACAAAAACACACAGACACAATTAATCGTCGATTCTCCGGAGAATACAGGGAAATATGGTAAGTGGTGGGGAAGAGAAAAACCAAGAAAATATGTAAAAATATGGAGAGTCCTGTTACTTGTGTCTATTGATTTGTGTGTCCCAGGGCCCCTTCAAAGATGAAGGAGGCTTGTTTTGGAAGAGCTGGTACCCTAGACCACCTACACCCAGAGGGCTGGTGGGATTAGAGGTGAAGCTCTCGAGGGCAGGCGGCCCTCCTGAACCCCAGAGTCGACCTCGTCGAGTTGTTATCCGGTTGCGCTGCCGCGCAAATAGGCCACCGCGCTGCGACGGGATGGGGGCTGGAAAGGGGGCTGGGAGGGCCTCCTGACTTTCCACTGTGAACCTCGATTCTGCCCCAACATTTGTTCTTGGAAGTCCAAAGACCTGAATGAGCTGGAAGCAAGCATGGATGCATGTTGGCCTCGATGCCGTGGGAGGGTGCAAGATAGCTTCGCGAGACGCGTGGCTACGGAACAATAACAAAGCCTCGGCGCAGCGCCGTGGAGGATTTCGAATTGCTTGTTGCCCGATCAGGTCTCCGCCACAGCATTGACGGCGTGCGTCATGGTGGCGCGGCTGCTGGATGGTAGTTACACGGACCCTGCCGGTCAGTTCGTGGGCGCGCCGACGATGGAAGGCTGCAGGGATGAGGGACAAGGATGAGAAGAAGGTTGAGGCAAGGGGGTGATGAGGACGAGAAGGCGGAGGCAGGGGGGAGGAGGAGGAGGAGGAGGAGGAGGAGGAGGAGGAGGAGGAGGAGGAGGAGGGGATGCGGCTATCCTTGTGACGGGAGGGTACTCCAGCTCTCTGGACGGAGAGCGTGGCTCAAATGTGGAAGTGCCCATGGATTCAAGGAATTGAGGTCACGCTTCGTTGTTGAAGTAAGGGCACGAACATGAATAGTAACGTATCGATGTTTTGAAAGTTAACATGTAGGTTCCACCAAATAAGGAGTGCTGTGGCAGATAAGCCTGCTCGACCACGGGACCGACCGGCTGTTTTTCTAAGAGGCGCGGGCGGACAGAAGAGAGGCCTGCAGATTATCAGGCCACACGAAGGGTAATATGTCAGCGCATGCTGATTATCTGAGGCACGGGACGACATAGGTCAAAAACTAGTGGCAACAAACATTGGGACCGTCGGGGCGGGACCCGATGGCCAACCACGAACACATCCGACACGCGCAGTGGCAACGAAGGCCCGAAGCGCTTGGGCGGGACCCAAGGAGTAACCAGCAGCAGAGCCAACACAATGACTAAATCAGGGCTGGGACCACCTGAGTGCGACCCCTGAGGCAACGACCACCACGGCCAACAGGGGCAACTAGGGACCAGAGCGCTGAGGTGGGATTATGAAGAGCTGTTGCCAACTACCACCAAAGCCAACGCGCAACAGCAATGGCAGGGGCTCGATGGGCGGGTCCTGTGGCCAAGCGCCACCGAAGCCAACACAACGGAGCAAGACAGCGCAGGACCCTCCAGGCGGGACTGCATGGCCAACTATTGCCGAAGCAGCCACACAGGCAGGGGCAGCTAAGAACCGAGGTTTGCGCTCCTCGATCTCATGATTCGGGTATGCAAGTGGCCGCCCTGCGGTGAGAAGGAGGTCGGGGGGGGACGTGTGCAGCTTTCAGCTTGAGATGTCCTCGCGTCGGAAGAATCTACATGTCGAACAAAGCGCCTAACAATCTGACTCACGATCTACCAAATTACCAAACTATCTGAGTAACGTCTTACGTATCTAACGGTCGGAATACTACAAGTGTTTATGTATACATACACACAAGCAACCATAGAAGCAGCAGCCATATTCATCACCCAAACCGTTGTTGCATGTAGGGCCTATGCTTTATCTACGGTCTGAGGAACTGGGAATGAAATACCGCCGATATCTGGTGCTGACATAGGTTGCGGCCACGGTTTGCGGCCAGGGGTGCCGCTGCATGTTCTAAGCGGCCATAAACTGTGTTCGTGGGCTTCGCCATTGGTTGAGACTAGTGGTGCCGCTCATTATCCGGTGCACCGATCCGCTCGTAAGCGCATGCTTTGACATTGGGCACAGAGCCAAGTTCTCCAGACGCGTTCTGCGCGTCAGCGCAGCGCATACCCCAAGCAGCGCAAGAAAGCCGCGTGTTCATCCCCATCGATAGTGGAGAGGCGATAGGCATGCAGAAAACCCGTCCGTCGAGCCGCGCAGCATCGACGCTGTTTGGCACAAGACCGTCGTCGCGCAATTGCCTGCGAGCGGCTCCGTAAAATGTTTATGCGTTTGCTCCCTCTTCCATGGTTGGCAGAGTCGTTATTCGAGTGTGTCGCCATTGCCAGCTCATCTCCAGCGCGCAGCGTGACCACCACGGTGTTCGGGTAATGTCAAGCTGTGTCGACGCAGGTGGTCTACCCCATGGAACGTGTTGACGTTTTGGATTGCATGGCAGTATTTGCCAACCGCGTTCAACAGAGCGGAAATAGTTTGCAGTTGTGCGACGTCCAACATTCAAGTTTTGGAACGCGGTCACCACCCCGTTCGTCTATGAATCCCGCCCCGCAGCACATGGCATCACACGAGGGCCGTACCACGTGTTACTCGCACAAAGGTCCCACGATGTTTTTGTCCCGTGCCACATAGCAAGCACGCCCCGCCCGCCCCCCCCCCCCCACCCCACCCCACCCCACCCCCACCCCCCCGCACGAAACGACAACGCTTCGCAGGGGGGGTCGCGTTCCTGCTTTCGGGGGGGGGGGCCGGTCCACTCGCCAGATTTATGAAGAACTCGCTCTGGTCCAGCCCTTTCTCTCGGAAGTCACGTTCCGCTCGAATCGAGTGCGAGCACACGGTCAACAATTTCGATTTAGCGCGTCGCTCCGCCGAAGTTGGTCCACCACGCTTCGGCGCGACACGCCGAGCACTTCTCCATTCCCAGGCGCCCACGTCCCGAGCCTTTCCCCGCCTCCCGCCCCGCGGAGCGGAGCGACGCGCAAAAGTTCCCGACCGCGAGTTGGGCGAGGTGCCATCGCGAAGCACCATCCTTGACAACACAGACACGCGAGGTTTGGGACCCTCTGGCCGCGCGGGATCTCGTGGACAACAACCATCGCAGCGCACAGGGGCAAGTTTGGATGGGGCCCGTTCGGCGGGAATCGGTGGCCAACCATCACCACGCCCGACACACTGGGGGGGGGACGCGGCAAGGGTTCTGTGGATGAGACCACCGTCACACGCACAACATAACATCACCAAGCCCAACATACGAAACGAATTCTTTTCAACTCGATTAAAAGATCGGGTGTGCAAGCATGGCTCGAGGACGCGCGGGGAGGGCATTTTCCAGATTTGCGAATGGTCCCCGGTCATCCCCTCTTGGTCAACCTTGGAAGCATGTCGCATGCACGCCCCTGGGCTTTATCTGCGATAGCCCTTGCAGCCCCGCGCAGCCGCAGTCTACAGAACAAGAGGCCAGGATAGACATGCTGCTGCGATACAAAAACCTGGCATATTGACGGCAAAAGTGTTTGGAGATGATGGGGTACCTTCATTTGGGGTCGAGTGGGGAGTAACTACACAAAAAAACGGGGATCGGTTTCCTCTGCCACGTTGGTTTTGCCGTTGAGGCCTTCCACCTTGTGTCCGACGCAGTGCCGCTCCAACTTCCACTTCGAAGCAGATGCACCTGTGCGATAAAGCAAAGGCCTCGAAAAAGAGGCCCGCTTCCCAGCAGGCGCCCCCTGAAAATACTTGGCGCTTCGCGTATCCCCACCTGCTGCCGCCCGCCCCGGACATTGCCTCTCTCCGCCAGACCGTTGTCGCGCAGCCGCCGACCAGAAAAAAACTATCCCCACCAGTTCAGCCAGCTGCTCACCCGGCGGTAGGTTCTGATCGCGCGCTCGGTATCGCGCGGTTGTTTGCTTGTCGCTGTTTCAAGTAGTAGGCCCGCGCCCCGGGCTTACGACGCGCCGCGCGCGTTTTCGCCCACGGCCGCGGGGGGGGGGGGAACTGGGATGGGACGTCTTGCGCAGACCTCTCAAAGGATGAGCCTAGACACACGTGCGCTAGACACGGCAGCCGAATACTGGTAAGGAACGGGGGCGCAGACAGTAGAGGCTGCGCATGATCTGATGGAAGCACAAGGGGCGCCCCACCCCAGTCCCCCACCTCGGAGGCTACATAGACAGCTCGGTGCAGCAGATCATGATGGGACACCTGGATCTGGACGGTCATCTCCAGATGTCAGCACTATCCGGGGATCGGGAAGTTGTGGAAGCGGGCGCTGCGGCCCGAAGCAGGACTGCGACAGCCCCCCAACAAGAAGGCGAGAGGTCCCGCCCAGGTTCGCAAATTGCAGGACTCATGGCACGCCATCTCTGGGACGACGACCACCCCCAAGACGACGACGCAGGACAAGGCGCCACCGACCTACACAACCAAGAGGACAGGATGCGACCGAGCTGCGCCATGGAAATTCGAGCGCATCCACCTTGCCAGGCGACAGAATGAACAGGCGGGAAGGCAAGCCCCGCAACCCCCTCTCGACACGAGCTCTTTGAACCCAGAATTAGCCAACTCGTTCAGGGACGAACTGCGAGACTTCGACAGGGCTGATACGGCACCGGGTGAGTGGGCCTCGGGAGCCCTTTGGCTCTGCCTGCGACCACACTTCCGAACCCTCTTGAAATCTGTCCTCACTGCCAGGCGCATTGACTCCAGACTGTTCGAAGTCATCGCGAACTGGCTCGTCGGATGCGATGTACACACGCCCTGGCAACTACAATGTTTCCTGGAGCTCGCCACTGGGCAGAGAGCAGAAACCTTCCACACGCACAAGTGTCTCAGGCCGCAAGTTTTGCACGACGCTCTAATCCACATGGGCCCGGTGGCAGCCACGGATGACACGCGCGCCGCCTCAGACACATCCGCCCTCCTGGAGGCCCTCGGTGCAGCAGTGGCCGCGGCCGCACCCACACTTAACCCGGAGCCCGCTGCACCATTCGCAACCAGCGGGGACACCGACCCATCCTGTTGTCTGATTTGCTGGGGAGAGCACGGAACCGTCGCCAACGCGCTCGTCCCATGCGGACATTGTTTTCACGGACCTTGTCTACGGCGTTGGCGCGGCTCACAGCCAGACGTCTTCACCGAAGTGCCGAGCACGAGGCCAACGTCAGCAACATTGCCCCGACACCTCTTCGGACGCCGACAGTTCGAGCCCAGGCACCCAACCCCAGCAGCGACTACACACTGTCTCAGCTTCTCCTGACGGCCACCGGCAGCGACGACCCAGGGCAGATCGGCAGCATGTTTCCCAAGTGCCGTCCCATTGACGACCAGTTCGGCAGTGGCGCCATTGAGTCTGGGCCCTACGCATCCATCTGCGACAGCTGCAGCGGGGAACCGGTCAAGTACACGCGGGAACCAGGCCACCCCGCGCCCGGCTCTTTTGTTTAGAAGACCAGCGCAGGCCTGGGATGCGACGACCGATGCGGCCTCCCCGAGCGGGGCCGCTGGGTGGAGTGCTGGGCCGGCGCCTCCTGGAACGCTTCCTGGCCTGCCGCATCTGCGTGGTGTGCATCGGGGACATCGCGCCCAGCGTCCTCAAGGTCATTCTGGACAGGGACTCTGTCCGCACATACCCTTCCTCACCAACGAAGAGGCCCCCCGGGCCCAGACCTACCGCCGACGACGGCCTACGCGGCGAGTTCGGCCACCCGCGGGCTGCGGCAACGCAGGACGACGCGACGCCATCCCGGTTTCGCCGCCCCGACCGTTCTGACACCAGACGGTGCGAACACATCTTCAGCATCCTGCCGCGTCTCCCCCCCCTGAGTCACCGCGATGTCGAGACTATCTCACCGCAGCGAACGACCAACGTTGGACGGAAACGCCCCCCCCCTGGCATTGGCAGGTATATGCGCTGTCTGGACTCAGCCTCCGACGACGCCTGGATCGCTTTCTCCTCCCAGAAGGGCCCCAAACAGGACGACTGGAGCGCCAGCGCCTGGGGGCGCAGACTGGCCTGTATCTACATCCGTTCGCTTTACACCAGCACACTCACCGACGACGGAGTCCCGCCTGGCACCACTTGGGGTGGCAAGAGATGGGCGGCCGTTTGCCTGGCACGTCGATTGGCCCAAGAGGCTCTGATAGGACAATCCTGGATGATCCATGCTCAGAGGGACGCTCCGCTCAAGGACACCGACTCCGCCCACTGCAGCATTAGCACCCTCTTGGACTGGCTTGCAAGCCTCGAACATGACACGCTAACGGGCGACGCCATGTCGGACGGGGAGATAAGCGGAAACGACACAGACCCAACAGCAGCGCCGTCTGGCGCGGCCACGCCCGCGCAGGCTGCCCGCCCTCCACCCAGCGCACAGGCCAGGGCAGAAGAAGGAGAGACCACGGACACATCGATTGGCGACCAAGGGGTACTCGCACCCTCTCAGCCCCCGGGGAGGACGGAACGTTTGGCCGGGCTCCAGACCCAGACCAGGATTGGATTTGGGAGCCGGAAACCGAGACACCACAGACTAGCCCGGAACCCCCAGCGGACGACGACCCCACCCTTTCACCTACCGACGAGGAGGCCAGCTCCAAGTTCCCCCCCCTCACCGCGATCCTCTGCGCTGCCGCGCCGGCCAGCAGCGACCACGACAACGCTGACACACGAAAGCCGCTTGCACCCCGACTCTCGGGCGAAACAGCTGGCAGCAGTAACCCAGCACAGGAGACTTTGGACGCGCGCAGAGGGACATGGAAAGTGGCGCGACCAAGGATGGAGCCCTTACGACCATGCCAAGCGGCACGTGGACCGCGCGCGGAGTCCTAACAGCAGCAGGTGGACCAGCTACGGCTCCAGCTGGACTGCCCATGATGACGGGCGCGCGTACGGATCCAGCTGGTCAAGCTACAAGTCGTGGGAATTGGACCCCAGGGACAGGGCCACGCAGCACGCACGACCCGTAGCAGCCACGCTGTTGGCATGTGGGCTCGAGGAGTCTGGCGCGAAGTGGCCGCCGACCCCGTCGCGCCAACCGACTGCCGCACCCATGACGGCAACCAGATGCATGAGACGCCCACGCACCTCGCTGAGGCGCAAGGTGCGGCCGAGAGCAGCCCTGCCTTCATAAAAAGGATGCAATCCGAGCTCGGGGCCACATTCAACAGGGTTTGGCACAGCTGAACCGAGTACAAATCAACCCGGCCCGGTCTCGCCCCACAGGAGCCACGTATGCAATCCCAGGCCGATCGCGACGAATTCTTGGCCACCTGGCTACAGAACGGCTACGACGCCCATTCTCTCAGCCAGCAGCACATATTTCTACGCCGACTTCGACCGCCCGCGCCAGGGCCTTGCGACGGACGACTGGCGCAAAGCTGGGCGCCCAGGCAAAGGGCTAGACCGCGACGCCTCCGTGGCACGAAGCGGCAAGCAGGGCAAGCGCAGCCACGGATCGAATCTTGTGCTTGCAGCGATCAGCTCCCTTTCCCTTCCCCTCTTCCTCCTGCCGCCACTTCCTCCACGGTGACCCGCTGCGACGGGTCTTCACCTTGGGTGTGCCTCTGCCGAGGTCCGGTGTTTCTTCAGCGATCAGCTTCCAGCTCTACCTTGGGTATCCCTCTGCCGAGGTCTTCCATTCCGCCGATGCGATTGTTTTCTGTTTACCATGGGTATTCCTCTGCGGAGGCTTCACGAGCGTTTGCAGCGATCAGTTGCCTTTTTATGAACCTCTTCTGAATCTGGTCCGGGTGGCGCGGCACCAGCTCCCCATGGGCTTCGTTTCCGCCCGTCCCACCACGCGATTGCAGCGAGGGTTCATGTCGGTTGGCTGGACGGGCGCGCCCCATCCCTACCAATGGCCCGCTTCGCCCAAGGCGCCACGGTCCCCCTGGCAGGCGCTTGCGGGCGCCGGCCTCCGCATAGCCACCCGCCGCTCCACCTTCGGGCTACCTGATGGGCGGCGCGCACTTGCGCGGGGCGCACGGCGCTGGTCGACGGCCGTCTGAAGTTTCACCTGCACGACAAGGTTGCCCCTGCCTCCTGCCCTCGGGTACGCGCTGATCGCGGCTACTTGGATGACCGCCGACGCTTGTCAGGTGTAACCCACAGCCTGCATGTTCGACCTCTTCGCTCCTGCCTACCTGGGGTTCGTCGGTTGTGCTTATCCGACTGGCTCGGGGTGCCCATGGGCGGCACCGCTATTCGGTTTTCGGCCACCTGGGGGCTTCCTCCCGCGCCATTTTGGCTGCGTTCCCTGCGCTCGCACACGGTGTTGTTCTTTCCGTACGGCAAGGTGGACCACTTTTTCTTCCTGTCCTGGCTCCCCGCGCCTTTACGGCGTCCTCTCACCCGTGCTCTCGGGGCGCTTCAAGTTCCTTTTGTTCGGCAAGTATGTGGCCTTGGGCCTTCGTGCTCTTCGTCTTCGGCACGCTCTTCGGTAGCTGCTCGCAGGCTGGGTGGTACTGCTGTACTTCCCTTCCGCCTGCCGCCGCTCGCTTCATTGTTTTTCTCTTTGCTACGGAGCGCGGCCCGCCCTAGCACGGTCAGCGTTCGATTCGCCTTCGCGCGCCCGCGGACCAAATGTATCCCCACCAGCCAATTCATCATGGCGCCAACATCGAAGGGTGGATTTCGTCCGGGAAACCATCGGATGGGCCCGGAGTGTCCTGGAAATTGTCCTTCCGGATTTCGAGGTGAGTTTCGTGCGGGTTTCTTTTGGCCAGGAATGAAGACTACAAAATCCTCGCCAAATCCGCTTCGTTTTTCACTCGCCGTTTCGGGGTTCTGCATTGGCTGAAATCCACACAAAAATCCGCTGCAGCACGTCTGCAAGGTCGGTGCAGTGACATGCAGAAACGGTGCTTGGGCGAATTGCTTTGACCAGGACAATGTAGAAGCACGCATTGGAAAAAATATGGATCATCCTGAGCACGCCCAGGACGAGGTCGAGAACGAAGAAGAGGACGGCGACGAAAAGGTGGACGATGAGGAGGACGAGGAGGAACAGGACGAAGACGAGCAGGAGGAGGAGCAGGAAGAGGAGGAGGACGAAGACTTTGGCAGCAATTTTGGGTTTTCTGGGGGCCATCTTAGAGTCCTCTTGGAGCTCTCTCGCGGCCCTCTTGGGGCTAGTTTGGAAGGTATCTGTGGGAGGGTCTCGGGGCTCTCTTGGAGCCCTCGTGAAAGCCTTGTAGAGCCTCCTGGGGACACCTTGAAGGGCGTCGATCAATAGAGGGGGGGGTCTCCGAATTCTCTCCTCCCGCTCGGGGCCATCGAAATCGCCTCTTGAAGCCCTCTTGGGGCTCCTTCGGGGCGCTCTTGGGCGGTCTTGGGGAAGTCTTCAGTCCTCCTGTGCCCCTCTCAGGGCTCTCTTGGGCCATATTGGGGTCATTTTGAGGCCGCATCGGGAGCGAAAAAAGGTGAAAAGACAAAAGCCAGCGTTTTTTCCCCATCAGGTTGTTGAAGGCTGTGGGCCTCTTGGGGGAGTCTGTTGGGGAAGTCCTGAGGGGGCTCTGAGAGCATGTGGAGCCGTCTTCTGATCCTCTGGACTCCTCTTGGAGGCATGTCGGAAACCATCTTCGGCTATCCTGGGCCATCTTGGGGGCCAGCTTGAAGCATCGGGAGCCCTCTTGGAACCATCATAGACCCGTCTGGGCGCTTTGACCGCTCGCGAACCCCTCAACAAAACTCAGGGATGTGGGAGAGGGTACCCCTTCCCGAAGGGCTTGGAAGAGGAAAGAAAGAACTCCGTAGACCACCTTCGCCCAAAGGACTGGTGGGATCCTCTGTGTGCCTCGAAAATGCGCCACAGAGTTCACGTTAACCGAGGCGTCTTATCCCAGGCACGGGCTGCATAGCGGAGCGTGGGGGCCCCTTGACTGGGCCGCATACACGTCCCGAACGGTTGGGCACGAGTTTTGCTTGCCATCCCTTCGACCTCCCTCGTTTCGTGGGCGAGGGGGGCGCAGCTCCGAAGGAGATCGACACCCCGATGGTCGCTGCCCCTTGCTCCGACGCTCTGGGTCTCCGAGAAGGGGCCGGAGGATCGCGCCGCATCGCCGATGCATCAGCGATGCATCGGCGATGCACCGGCGATGCGGCTCGATGTGGGGCCCGATTTGCTCCACGCCGACGTCGCCGATGCACCGCCGACGTCGCCGGTGCATCGCCGATGCATCGGGGATGCATCGGCGATGCCTCGTCGATGCATCGGCGATGTAGCGAGATCCTTCGACCCCATCTGCTCGGACCCGGGCAGCCGGTTTCGCCGAGATTTTGCCTGCCTGCCTGGCGAGCGCCACGCACCCGTCGACGAGCAAGTCCTCGGTCACGACAGCACACCAGAGCGAGGCCCTCGACCTCCCTCTTCCTTTTCGGCCGCACTCCAAACGGAACTGGAAAGAAAGAGCGGAGTCGAGGAGGGAAGCAGGGAGCAGGAGTAGGAGGAGGAGGAGGAGGAAGAGGAGGAGGAGGAAGAGGAGGAGGAGGAGGAGGAAGAGGAGTAAGAGGAGAAGGAGGGTGAGGGAGGAGGAGGGAGGAGGAGGAGGAGGAGGAGGAGGAAGAGGAGGAGGAGGAAGAGGAGGAGGAGGAGGAGGGACGAGGAGGAGAAGGAAGAAGGAAGAGAAGGAAGGCCTCTTTATGGGGCCGGCCAAATGTTCATCGCGCCATGATCCGCGGAAGGGCGTTGGGTTTGCGGAAGAAGCTTGTTTCTAGGTAGACTGTGTGGTGCGCATCCCAGGCTCGATATTTGGCATCACGCTCGCGCGCATTCGGAGGGGGGCATGGGGAAAGGAGACAGGGATAGAGCGACAGAGAGAGACAGAGACAGAAACAGAGGCAGAGATCGAGACAGCGACGAAGACAGAGCTAGATACAGAGACGACGACATGGATGTGCACCTGGAGGGAGCGAGAGAGAGGGTGACAGAAAAATTGTCAAGCCTCTCCCATCTGCCCGAAGGCATCAGCACCGCCGCGCAGGACCCAGACTCAGTGGATTGGGATTGGGGATCACTGGAGCGCTGGCCATGCCGATCTTGGCACGTGACGTTCACATCTCGATTTCTTGTATGTTTTCATAGATGCGCAAACGTACGCATACATGGAGCATCCTGCATACACGCCTGAAGTTATACAAGTGTGTGCATGTTTGTGTATGCCGCATCAGCTTGTATGTGTAGGGGTAATGTTTGTTTTCATTTCCACGATCTTGCGGTCATGATCGGTTATGGTCTCTGCGTTGTTGCTATGATATAATCGATAAGACCTGATATGGACAATACTGCAGAACGAGATGGGTGTGACAACACGGCAAGACCATATGGGTTCTGCGTGTTGCTGGCTCTTTTCGTTGCGCCAGCACCAGCAAGATCAGACCTTCTGGTCTTTGTGTAGTCGTCACTGGCCAGGAGATTGAACTTGATGAGTTTTTCTCGCCGCGGCACTATTAGGAAAGTGTGACACTAAGATACAGTGTCAGAAGTGCGCCGCGCGCGGGGGTATGTTGACAAACGGGATGGTCGGGGCAACAGCGGACGGAAAAAGTGATGAGGTTTTTTCCCACGATATTATTTCAACCATTGTGCCGAAAAATTGTGGCCAGCCAGACTGTAGCAGTAGATAATTTGTCTGGCGACGTGTAGCGACAAGTGGATTTGCCGCTATCATATTGTGTGGGGCACTTGCGGAACGCAGTGTAAACATAGTGCGCAATTGATTCTAAGTCATCAGGCTCCGTTTGGCAGAATTGCTTCACCATCGACGAACCTTACCAGCCGCACATTGCACGGATTCATTTGTTGATGCCCATTGCCGCCCTTCCAGGAGACGAACATATGATTCATTTGAGCTCGTTGCACAACACAGTTTGAAGAGATATCGCGATTGTGCATGTCAGGCAGATACACATCGTGTCGCACTGGACAAGGTCAAACAAGCGATGCGTCCGCTCTTGCGTCCGCTCTTGGGCCGACTTGGACCCCTGGCGATAGCTGCAATTGCAATCATAATAATATTGGTCGGGATATCGGTAGTAATGGAACTCTGCATCACCATTGTCGTGGGGGAAAACGTTATAGAAGATCATCGCACGAATACAGGTGGTAGTAGTAGTAGTAGTAGTAGTAGTAGTAGCAGTAGTAGTAGTAGTAGTAGTCGTAGTCGTAGTCGTAGTAGTCGTAGTCGTAGTCGTAGTCGTAGTCGTAGTCGTAGTCGTAGTCGTAGTCAGTAGTAGTAGTAGTAGTAGTAGTAGTAGTAGTAGTAGTAGTAGTAGTCGTAGTAGTCTAGTAGTAGTAGTAGTAGTAGTAGTAGTAGTAGTAGTAGTAGTAGTAGTCGTAGTAGTAGTAGTCGTAGTAGTAGTAGTAGTAGTAGTAGTAGTAGTAGTAGTAGTAGTAGTAGTAGTAGTAGTAGTAGTAGTAGTAGTAGTAGTAGTAGTAGTAGTAGTAGTAGTAGTAGTAGTAGTAGTAGTAGTAGTAGTAGTAGTAGTAGTAGTAGTAGTAGTAGTAGTGATTGTAGTGATTGTAGTAATAGTAGTAGTGGTAGTAGTAGTAGTAGTAGTAGTAGTAGTAGTAGTAGTAGTAGTAGCGGTAGTAGTAGTGGTGCAGCAGTAGTAGCAGTCGTAGTCGTCGTCTTAATAGCGCAGTACTAGCAGTACGACTAGCACTAGTAGTCGTAGTAGTAGTGGTAGTAGTGGTTGTGGTAGGAGTAGCAGTGGTAGTAGTAGTGGTAGTAGTAGTAGTAGTAGTAGTAGTACCCAGAAGAACACGGTTAGAATAGCAAGGCGGTTATGTCACAGTACTCGTCAGCCTCTCGAAAGCATGCCACAGGCTGCTCGGAAGAAGATGGTAGATTTTCGGAGGCTAGTCGGAAGTCTCCCATAAGCCAATCGGAAGATTCTCGAAGGTTTTTCGAAAGCCTCTCGCAAGCATGTCGGAGGACCACTTTGGGCAGTGCCCATGTGGAAGCCGTGCGCAACTCACCTTTGTTTTCCCCCTGGGCGTGATTTTGTTCACATTGTGATCCCCCTGATGTCTGGAGCCCTTTCGTGGGACCGGTTGTCTATCCTGGGGCATTTTGTTGATGGCCGCCGGGCCGGGTCAGGAACCCGGGACTTACGCGGCGCAACAAATCATCGCCGACGCCATCGCGACGCGAATTTGCCGCATTCAGTCCCGAAGGGATGATGAGCAGCATGTTAAAGTTGACGAGGAGGAGTGAGAAAGGAGGAAGGAGGGAGAAGGAGGGAGGGATGGATGGAAGGATGGAGGGACGGAGGGATGGAGGAGGAGGGGCACCTGAACGCGCCAGGACCCGAACCCCCTCGGGGCAGCTGGCGCTGTGATGGTCCTTGTCTCCCTGCTCGCGAACAGTTTCATCGCCCACCAGTGTGCTCCCCAGGAGACTCGCGGCGCCCGTCGTTGTTGTCCTCTCGCTCCTCCTCGTCCTCTCGCTCCTCCCTCTCCTCCTCCTCCTCCTCCACCTCATCCTCCTCCTCATCCTCCTCCTCCTCCTCCTCTTTCTCCTCCTCCTCATCATCCTCATCCTCCCCCTCCTCCTCCTCCCCCTCCTCCTCCTCCTCATGCTCGTGATTGTTCCACTGTTATGTTCGCCGTCATGCCCTGTATTCGAGTGCGAGCGCGAGTGGACAGCGGCAGCGGAGGAAGGGAAGGGAAAGGGGAGGGGGGCAACGGGGGTGGGAGCGGCAGGGCGCAGGAGTAGGGAACAGGAGAGCATCACAGGAGATCGAGAGAGAGAGAGAGGAGCCGGAGAGACGGCCACAAAAGAGTGCGTCGGCAAAGCATAGATGGAGAACGGGAGATGGCAGCCCTGCGTAGTTTACGACACAAATCGATTTGCCGATTGAGTGTTCTCTTCTTACGCATGCCCCTCTTCATCCTCCTACGTCGCGTGCTGCTTCCCCTTCCGTTTTTCATCCCCCTCGCCGCGATTCATCATCATTTTCGCTGTCCACATCACAGTCGATCTCAGCAGCAGCACCACCACCCTCATAGTCGTCCTCATCCTCATCAGCATCCATATCCTGAAGTGGTCCTGATCCCGATCCTCCTCCTCCTCGTACTCGTCCTCCTTCCCATCGTTACCAACCGTTTCCCTCCTCGCTCTGTCGGCCGCGCGGCGCATCCTACATACACCTTAGGCAATGCTTAAGAAAACCTAAGTTTTCGTCCAGAGTCTCGATTATTCTTAACTTTTCAATGTAAATCCCAAGATTTTGATAGAAGTTCTGGGTTTTTATTCAAGTTCTGAGACTGAGAATTTCTTAACCCATGATTTCTAAAGCATTTCGCAGGGTGTATAGCCGTGGCCGAGGCCAGGCCCCCTTGGCTGGGCAAGAAAGGGGGCAGGGCGAGTGGGAGGACGGGAGGAGGTGGAGGGAAGAGAGGGGGCGCCTCCTCGCGTTGTGAAAGAAGAGCGCAGCAGAGTATGGTCTGCAACCCTCGACTTCCGGAAGCCCTCGCCGGGCCCCAGGACCGTGGAGAAACGATTCGGGTTGAAGAGCCCGTCCTGGGGAAGTGGCCCAGACTTCTGGGGGTCCACGCTGTGAATCACCGAGCGCGTCGCACTATTCGCACAGTGCCTCCTCGCAAACGTCGGCCAAAAAAGCACATGTGTTGCCTCGATGTTATGGATTCTAGACCCCCCGCGGCGGATCCAGGCCATCTGCGCGCAGTTCCTCTGCGAGTAGTGGAACGCTCTTGTCTAGTGAAGAAAACCACGACGCCGGAGTTCTGAGGCTGCAGGGAAAGGAGAAGCCCAGGGACGGAGCACGACGAACCCAGCCGGCATCAGCCATAAGGCTCGCCCAGGCGCGCACGAGGCCTCGGCCACCCGCCGGAGGCGTTCAGAGCGGATCGTGGCCCGAGCTGATCGCTGCCTGGGCCGCGGTGGGAAGAGCGCGCCGAGCTCTTGGCCGCTGACCCCCTCCTCCTCCTCCTCCTCCTCCTCCTCCTCCTCCTCCTCCTCCTCCTCCTCCTCCTCCTCCTCGGCGACCCCATGACTTCGAGCCAGGCATCTTCGCCCGGTTTCGGGCCCCGGGGCCCTCGTAGATCCATCCCGCTCGAGACGTGGCGGAGGAAGACAGGATCTAGGGCTCCGGTCGTGATTTGTTCCGATGTTTCAATGTTCCGGGACGTCGGATCTCAGGGACTGTGGGTTGTCCGTCGCCATTCAGGGGCGCCGCAGTGGCCAAGGGGGTCGGCGTCCGAGCGTTGACTGGGGGGGGTCGCGGCATCTCTGGTCCGTGACCTCTCTTGGCGCAAGCGCCCCCCCCTAGTATTCCCTCCCTGCGGATCTGCCCAGAGGTCCCAGATCTGTCGAGTTGTTGTGCTTGACGTTTCCCAGGCATGGCCTCCTGCAGTCTGTGGCCTGGTTGCCAGGCGAACTGCTCTCGAGAAAGACGTCTTGGCATCCCTGGCCTCGAGAAAGACAACTCACACGTGATGTATTCCTCCTCCTGCTCCTCCTCCTCCTGCTCCTCCTCCTGCTTGTCGCCTCCTCCTCCTCCTCCTCCTGTTCGTCCTCATCATCATCATCATCATCATCATCATCAACAACAACATCATCAACGTCATCAACATCATCAACATCATCAACATCAACATAAGCATCATCAATATCAGCATCATCAGCATCAGCATCATCAGCATCAGCATCAACACCATGAATGCCTTCGGGGATCATCCATTAAAATTGGAACGATACAGAGAAGATTAGCATGGCCCCTGCGCAAGGATGACACGCACAAATCGAGAGTTATATAAAATCAGCATCATCCTCATCATCACTAGCAGCAGCAGCAGCAGCATCGTCCTTCTCTCATCCCTTCCCTCCCACATCCTTGGAGCCTTCGAACACCTACGTAGAACCCCGTAGAGACACCCAGCACCCCCTAGAGCCCCTCAGACTCCCCCTAGAACTTCCTCCTCCTGCCTCCCTTCCTGCCTCCCTCCTGCTTCCTCCGTCTCCTCCTCACGAGGAAGAGGAGGATGAGGCGCAAAAGGATGAGGGAGGAGGCAGGAGGGGAAGGGAGGAAGGAGGTCGTCGCCAAACAGCGGTGGCGTAGACAACCACTTCTGCCACCAGAGGAGGGAGGAGGAAGGAGGGAGGAAGACTGCGCGGGAGGAGAGAGGGAGGAGGAGGAGGAGGAGGAGGAGGAGGAGGAAGAGGAGGAAGAGGAGGAAGAGGAGGAAGAGGAGGAGGAGGAGGAGGAGGAGGAGGAGGGAGGGAGGGAGGAGGGAGGTCGTGAGGAAGACTCCGCGGGAGGAGGGGAGAGGAGGAGGGAGCAGAGAACGCCCGCAGCTCCGCCGGGCGGTGGACGCGGACGTCGCCGACGCGCTGCCGGAAGGCCCGGGCCCCGCCCCGCCCCGCCCCGGCAGCGCGGGGCGGGCCGTCGGTTCTCGCGGGGCTTTCCCTCTCAAGCTGTGACGAGGCGTCCTGACCTGCCTATAGGTCCACCAAGGAATGGTTTGAGAGCCTTTGGTGAGTCTGCACGAGATGTTTTCAGAACCTTTCGGGCTGAGACCGTCTTGTTCCAACATACCAGTTTTATGTTGTAAGAACATTGCTCGTGTTTTTAGACTTTGTTCTGAGTGCATTTCGTGGTAGGCCTAAAGGAATGCCAGGACGGTCATTCCCTGCTCCACCCTGTAGAGGATCGACATGGGTACGGAGAGAGAGGTAACGAAGACCGACAGCAGTTCCTGCCCATTCTTGACAGGACTCGCCGTCGGTGTCGCCGCGGACGTTGCCCGTTTGAGAGGGAAAGTCGCCTGCCCGATAGCGGTTGCTGTCGGTTTGGGACAGCATCTCGTACCCATGTTTTCCGTAACCATTCCGGGAGAGCAAATGTTTGTATATTTGGGCAGTCGGAAAACGGTTGCGTTTTGGGAGAAGGCTTTGTGTCCAGGCTTCTATTGGGACCCGTGTCCTCATTCATGTCAGCCTTCCCCATCCGTCTCCGCCCAGGACCTCACAGCGAGGGCGGGCGCGCAGATACTTGCACGCATGGATTATGGTTTTAGGTTGACGCTTGTTGTCCAAAGTTTGGACTCCTTACTCATGTAGTCTGGTATTCTCTTTTTATACGAACTACTCACAAGTGATTACTAGTTCGTATATCTTGCCGGAAGAGATGCAGAGAGGGGCCATCCCTGTATAGTTCCCTCCTTCCCTCCCTCTCTTACGTACCGCCTCATCTCTCATCTTCTCTCCTCCTGCTCTTCTGCTCCCTCTCCTCTCTCCTTCTCATCCTCTCTTCCCATCCTCGCTCGCTTCCTCCTTGGCGGGGGAGCGGGCCTCCCCCAAAAGAAGCTTGTATCCTCGTCCGCCCTGCCCCCTCTTCCTACTCTTCCTCCGCCCCGCTCCGCCTCCTCATACGAGGAGAGCGGATCGACTTTGCAATCCAATTGATGTTCGGTGTCGCTTGGCGGCGAATGCATGATTACCGTTGGCGGGAGTGGTGCAGTTACGCTCTTTCTTGTCAAAGTGAGCGCGCTCCAGATCATTATTCCACGCGCCGTATGCCTATATTGATTGTACCACAACCCGCCTGTTCATTCCACCTTCTACCCGCCCCTCGCTGCGCTCACGACATGACAGAGTCGTATTGTCATGCAGCTGGCCATGAGAAAGTAAGCTTGGACATGCTGTTCTCTGAAGCAATATCATAGGCAATACGCACTGCCTGGAAGAGTCTGCACGGTGAAGTGATTGGCGTGGAAATGTCACAATGATGCGGTGCAGCGCCGTTCAGGAACCAGTCACCGTTCCTGCCAGGCAGATTTCCAATCGTAAAGCATGCAAGCAAGCATACAACAAAGCAGCCAAGTAAGGCGCCAGGCGCATATATTCAACAAGATGCAGCATGCGATCAAGTTACTGATCAAGTACGCAATACCTTTATCCTACGAGCACATTGGACAGCCACGCGGGTACACCTGCACACATTCAAAGATATGAGATGCACATAGCTACATGTACACGCAAGGATGCAAGTGGATACGGAACGCAAGGACCCGCAGACCGCATGCAAGCAAGCGAGTGGGCAACAAAGCAAGGGCACGTGCATGCAAGAATGCATGAAGGGCAGAGGCGATCAAGAATGTCCCCGCACGCGCCCGCAGCAAAGATGTCGACTCCACCTGCGTACTTGCATTGCTCACGTCGTCTTGTTTGGCCATGCCCTTGATCATTCAACTATCTCTAGATTTTCGAGATTGGGTTGGGAACGTACGGTTGCACGCCATTGCGTAGGAGCAGAATGGCGGCATTGAGCAAGTATTGATTGTTCAGCAAAGGCGTGGTTGGCATTGAGAGGGGTACGGACGGCGCTGGCGGCAGAAGGGGCGCTTCCCAGCGACCCCACGTCACATTGGAGAAAACATTGCTGGTGCGCGCCCAAAGCAAGTAAGAGTGACGGTGGCGAACTTGTCGGACGGGATGGTGTCTTGGCTCGAGCGTGGAGTGGGGAGCAGTCGGATCTGCCGCGAGTGGCGCGCCGTCTCACCTCCACCCGCGGCGGCAACAAAGTTGCTCTGACGCGGTGCGGCCTTCCGCCGGGAAAGTTGATGCAGTCGACGTTGCGCCTCGTTGACCAGTCAAGCCGTTCGCGCGAGTTAGCCGATTCATCGGTTGCCTGCGAAGACTGCGAGCCAGACGGCACGTGTTTGCGGGCGCGCGGGCGGCGGAAGGGCATGCACAAAGGGTGGCCAGGCTCCAGTGTTGCGCCAGAAGCAGCCAAACTTGCTGTCAGAGAGCGCCAGATCAGGCTACTCGATGCACGCCAGTGCTTTTTGAAAAGTTACCACTGGTGAGGTGGCAGTGGCCCAATTCACTCACTGAGACAAGAGCGGCACCAGGCACGTGGGCAACAATACAGCGTGACCTAGGTCGAGCCTGTTAGAGATCTCGTGCTGGTAGCACTGTGCATGTTTAGCGGTCTTCCAGGGGGGAAAGCTCTTACGGTAGCCTAGCATGTTCGGTTCAAGGCCGTACGCAGAGATGGAATGCAGTATATTCGCTAGGACGCACTTGCCCCGCCGACACTTGTTCTGGCCACTTCCCATGTTTCGTTCCATCTTCTTCCCTGCTGCTCCGACGCAATCCGTGGTCACTTTTCGTCGCTCCAGGTAGCCGAGCGCCCGAGGGCGTCTTCGACGATGTGGTGAACGCAGGGTTTGCACTCAGTGGCCTCATGTATCTCGCTTAGGCCGGGGACAAGTGGGAGGGGAGAAGGTGAAGGAGGGTAACGAAGCTAAAGTAGCGGGTTACGTGAAGGAGGAGAAAGAGTAGGAGGAGGAGGAGGAGGAGGAGGAGGAGTAGAAGGAGGAATAAGATGACGAGACGAGTGCCAGTGCGACTGTGAGAACGAGGACGACGAGGCGGGGGAAAGGTGGGAGGGGAAGGGGGAGGTGGCGGCGCATACTCGTCGGATCAAAAGGGGTTCTCGACCTGGCTGCGGCCCTCCCTCTTCGGCCATTGCCCTGCAGCCCGGGTCGGGACCCCTTCTTCCCTGGGTCCGCCCCTCCCTCCTCGCGACTGGCTCTTCCGCCACAGGCCCCCCCCTCGTGATCGTTCGGCCATGGCCTCTTCCTCGTCATTCTCCAACTCCTCGTCGTCCTCCGAATTGCTTTTCAACCTCCCACCCGAAGTCGCCAGCGGGCCCCCCTGTTGTGGCCTACATCGTCTTTCGCGGAGGTTGCGCCGCTTCTTTTTGGCGACAGTTGCAATGCAGGAGGCCGCACCTGTGTCATTTTTGATGAACTGACAATGCGGGCTGGGGGCTGGCCTTTGCCAGGTTTCGAGGTGGAGTGCACCCCACTGAACCCCACAGGCTGCACACCACAGCTTCCACACAGCCATTGTTTGGGATACACGCGTCAGCATTTGGTTGTCCGCCCGTTGCCGCGAGAGGAGTCGTCGGCGTCGCCGCATTCGGCTTCGGCAGCACCGGTCGGAGCCGGGCGTCCAGCAGTTGTCGCGCGAGGGGAGGGGGGGGCGATTGCGAAGCTCTTCTCCCCCCCCCTATCCCCCATGTTTCTCCCCTTCCCTCCCTCCCTCCTGCGGTGTTTTCCTCATCGGGCGCGCGAGCCATCTTGCACCACCTCGCCTCGTGGGTGAGCGCGCGAAGCTTTTCTCCCCCCCCCTTTCCCCCTGTCGCCTTACAACCCCACGCTGCCGCCCCAGGTACACCGCCATCGCCGCGTGCGGTTTCCTCACCTTTGGCCCGAACGCCACGGACAATGTGCTCGACGGCTACGCTGCCAGCGACCCGCTCGCGGGCGCAGCGAGGCTCGAGCGGTGCTAGAGGAGGGCAAGTGGCGACGACTGACGCGGACGTGGAAAGGAGTTGTCGCGCGGAGTAGGGAGGGAAGACCAGAAAATGGGAGACGGTTATCCCAGATAGATCGGAAGTAAGGCTTGCGGGTCGGCAGGGCCCCCCGGTCCTCGTGGCGCCTGAGGGCCCCGAAGCGGCTTAAGAGGGTGCCGAGAGGGCTGCAAAACAGCCCGAGAGGGCCCCGAGTCTGCCAAGACGGACCCACGGTTGTTCTCAAGAGGGCCCAAGACTGTCCAAGATGGGTTCAAGACTGCCCAAAAGGGCCTCAAGACGCTCCAGGAGGGCCCCACGAGGACCCGCAAGAGGGTCCCGAGAGGCCAAAATCACTGACACCCCCAAGGTGTTGAAAGGATTTCGAACTTCTCGCGCTTTCGAGCTTCAGGGCACCCAGGACGGCCCAACATGTCACCAAGATCGCACCGAGGCGGCCCAAGAGGCCCCAACGAGGCCCCCAAGACGGCTTAAGAAAATCCCATGAGTCCTCCAAGACACCCCAAGACGGGTCAAGAGACCCCACAGGGATCCCAAGAGGCCCGAACACGGTTCCAGAGGGCCTGGAGCCTGCCCAAGAGGGCCCTAAGACGGCCCAAAATGCTCGGATGACACCCCCAGAACCCCGCAGGACGGCCCCTGGAAGACCCCCACGATGGCCTGAAGAGGTCAAAGGCATCGATTATCCGCGCCAGAAACAGACGTGCGCGTCGGCAGACTTCGATTCACGCAGCCCCGTGGATTGAATCCACGGGCCCACACGAGTACAATTGTATATTATTATACATATATATAGACGGGAGCGAGAGAGAGAGAGAGAGAGAGAGAGAGAGTGACGCAGAGAGGGAGGGGGTGGGGCAGGCGCTGCACGCTGCGTCTGGTCTAACGAGCAGAGGAGCCGACCCTTATCTGCACGGCAGGGCTCTACTGGCTCAGAAATTGTGAAACTTGCGGAAGGAAATGTCCTCCATTGGTGAAGCTATTGGAGCCGCAGACTACGCGCGGGCCCCCATTACACCCGACTCACGGGGAGCCGACGCGTACATAGCGCGGCACGATGTGGTACGCCATACACATGAGGGCTGGAATCAGGGCGCGCCCTACAACAGGAATCGCAATCGCGCGAGGGCGCCTGCCTTGGTTTGAGCGCAGATGGAGCCCGCTACTGGAGCTACTTGGGCGGAGCGCAGACCATTGGTCTCGCCTGAACATCCCGCGTGCCACGGGCTCAGCGTGATTAGATTCGAGGTGGAACGAACCGCGGCGGAAGGCTGGCTCATGCGCATGTCCCTGGCTGGTTGGACGGAGGCATGCCTCCAGGGGAGGCTCAGAAGAGGAGACGCTCGTCGATGAATGAGCGGCGGCGTCGGGCGCTGGCAGCGGGCCAGCCGCACAAGCAGCACTCCTGCAACGAGTTGAGAGGGCGCGAGTGCCTCGGGCGAGGGCAGCCTCACGCACTCATGGGCGTTGTCCCGGGTCACCCGCGCGCTCGAGCATCAACGCATGAACAAAGGCGACCCCGGGGCTCAAGGTGCAACCCAGGGCTCCGGCCGCGGTCGGCATTAAAACGGGAGACGTCGCGCAAGCATCGTGCAGTCTGCCGGCTGCGTTGGGAGTGGGCGCCAGCGCCATCATGCTCCAGCCTGGGGACGAGATGCCGCGCGGCCACCGGCAATGGGCAGAGGGGAGGACAGGCGGATTCAGCGTGGACGCCAAGCCACATCCGAAGTTCAATGCCGAGGTCCAGCGCAGCCGAAACGGAAGCCCACGGGCCCCCACGGACTCCCGAGAGCTCACGAGAGGGCCGGGTCCGAAGATCTCCGCGGGAGAGGCGCGCGGCCCCTCAGCCCCCCGAGAGGCCCCTCCAGGGGGCCAGGCGGCGCAGACCTGATTGATCCGTTCCAGACTCCTGAGTCTTAGGTGAGCGGCAACGACGCCCAGCGGCATCCAGGAAGCTTCCATCGGTCGGGAGGCATCGGGGGATTTCCCCGCCCACGGGGGTGGGCTGCCGCCGGCGGCGGGGGTGGCGCGGCGCCGCAGGCCCCGCCGCCGTCCAACGGTGCCAGCGAGCGCCCCACACACACACACACACACACACACACACACACACACACACACACACACACACACACACACACGCACACACACGGATACACAAACACACACACACACACACACACACACACACACGGATACACACGGATACACACACACACACACACACACTTCGGCGCTTCGCGCAGATGTTGCAGGGCACCTTCGGCTGCGAGCGGCACCGTTCGCTGCGAGGGCGGGGCGCCCGGCCCCTGCAGCTCCTGCGCCGCGCGCCGCCGTGCCGGAGGAGGGCACGGGAGGCGGATTTCTTGTTCTTAGGAGTCCCCCTAAACGGTGTTCGCACTGAGGCTTCCCTTTTTGTTTTCTAAGAAAATGGCCCGACGGTGGGCCCCTGCGGCGACGTTGTCGCCGTCGCCGCCTCGTCGCCACCCGTCGTCTGGGCCTCACGGTCGGTCTGGCGGCTACGTTTGTCGCCGTCGCCGCCCCGTCGCCGCCTCGTCGCCGCCCGTCGTCTGGGCCCGACGGCCGGTCAGGCGGCCGCGTCGTCGCCGTTGCCGCCCCGTCGCCGCCTACACTGCGCAACGCAGATTGCACCGCATATATTGGACCGCATTGATTACACTCGGGTCGGGCGAAAAGGGGGGATTGGGAAAGGGGGGGGTACGAAATTTGCTGCATGCAGCTGGTTTCGGCCTCGCCGAGGGGCCCATTCCTCGATACATGGCCGCCTCCGGCGCCGGGAGGCGCCGGGAAAATCAGCTACGTGAGCTGATTCTCAAACCCCCCCTTTGCTATCCCCCCCTTTCGCCCGACCCGATACACCACTCAGATCGCACCACATAGATTTCCCTGTCTTAGAAATATCCAGGCCCCCCAGAATTAACGATTCCCCACTTCAGACTGCAATGTACAGATGATTATGCCCCATCGCCCATCCTAAATATGAATTCATACCATCCCAGGAAGGCTGGCACCGGCACCCCCCTTCATATATTCCTAAAGTATTACACGCGCGCACTCGTTTATCAAAAATCATCAGTGTTTAAGAACCCCTTGCAAATAAAGTGCACGCGCGCGTCGTCGCGCGCGCGTGCCGCAATTCGTGAATATTTGTTCGTGTATCGTGTAAAATGCCTGCTTCGCAAAATTCCCCAAAATCGAGCTCCCCGAAAATATTACAAACGCAGTTTGTTTATGTTATTTGGCTGATTATATGTACACACACATGTGTATATATATATATATATACATATACATATACATATACATATACATCTACATATACATATACATATACACACATATATATATATATATATATATATATGTATATCGGAGTAGGCCGGGGGGGGGCGGGCCGGTGCCACCCTTCCCCATGGGCGCCCCCCAGGACCTTTGGGGGGTCACAGACCCCCTGGGACTGCCCCGGGCCGCTTCCAAATTGCCCATGACAGGCCACGCGGGCTGTACAGATGGTCAAGAAATCCTCAAGAGGCCCCGAAGACGCCTAAGATGGCCCCAAGACAGCCCAAGAAGCCCCGAAGCCGCCCCAAGAGGCTTCAAATAAGCGTCCCAAGAGAGCCCCGAGAGGCCAAAATCGATGATTCTTCATTGTGTTTTTCGATGTGTTTGGCTTTGATCGTCTTTTCACCTTCCCGACGCTCCAACAAGGCCCAACAGGTCCTCAAGAGCGCCCCAAGACTGCCCAGGATGCCCCCAAGAGCGCCCCGGGACGGCCCAAGAGGCTTCCAAGAGGACCCCAAGACGGCCCAAGAGGCACCCAAGACGGCCCAAGACGGACCCAGGACGGCCCCAAGAGCAGCCCAAGAGGGGGACCACGAACTGAACATTCGAACCTTCCGCCGCAACAAGGCCCCAGGCGGCCCCCAGAGGTCCCGAAGAGGCCCCAAGATGCCCCCAAGCGGCCCCCAAGAAGCCCCCAGGAAGCCCCAAGATGGCCCCACCACGCAAAAATCGTTGATCTTCCGTTTGTTTCTGAAAGATTGTTTCGTTTTCGATTTCTCTGCTTACCGACGCTCCCGAACGGCGTAGGAGACCCTTGAGTTCGCTCCAAGACGGCCCAAGAGGCTTCGAAGACGGCCCCGAGACAGCCCAGGAGGCTCCCCAGATCTCCCAAGAGGGCTCCAAAAACGACCACAAGAGGGAGCACAGGTGCCATGCGAACCGACATTTCGCGGTCTCCGGCTTCAGAGGCCCCCAGGAAGCCCCCGAAGGCCATCCAGAGGCTCCCCAGAAGCTCCGTGAGGCATCCAAGAGGATCTCAGGAAGCCCAAAGAGGTCCCCAAGAAGCTTCCAGGGAAGCCCGAAAAGGCCCCCCGAGACACCCCAAACCACTCATGTTCCCAGGAGGCTTTCCCGGAACATGATTAATCTTGCTTCTGCCCCCAAAAAACGCCACTCTTGCACGTGTGGTCCAGATGATGATGACGACGATGCTAAGTATTATGGAGATGACGATGATGGTGATTCTGAGCATGATGAGGATGCCGATGCTGATGATGATTCTGGTGATGGTGATGATGATGACCATGATAATGATGAGGTTGATGATGACGACGACGATGATGATGACGACGATGATGAAGATGATGTTGATGATGTTCGCTAGGATGCTCATGATGATCATGGTGATGGTGGTGATGCTGAAGCTGAAAATGGGGTGATGATTTTTCATTCGTATTATTATTCAAGACGCTTCGCGTTCACCGCCCGCCCATTCTTGCTCTCGCCGGATGAGGTTGTCTGTGTTGAAGTCCCGCAGTTCTGTCGCCCGTGTGTGTTCGTTTGGCCGGATGGGTGACATCGTGGGGGTCCCGATGGTTTTTCTTTGGGTGTCCCGATGGGTGGCCGGGATGGTAGTCCCCATGATGCCCCCGATGGCTGGAGC